AGACAATTTGGTACTGGCACAAGAACAGACCCATAGGCCAGTGGAACAGACTAGAGAGTTCAGATGTAAACCCAAGCATATATGGTCAGTTAATATATGATAAAGGAGCCACGGATATACAATGGGGAAATGACAGCCTCTTCAACAACTGGTGTTGGCAGAACTGGACAGCTACATGCAAGAGAATGAAACTAGATTATTGTGTAACCCCATACACAAAAGCAAACTCAAAATGGATCAAAGACCTGAATGTAAATCATGAAACCATAAAAACTCTTAGAAGAAAACACAGGCAAAAATCTCTTGAATATAAACATGAGCAACTTTTTCCTGAAAGCATATCCTCAGGCAAGGGAAACAAAATAAAAAATGAACAAATGGAACTACATCATGCTAAAAAGCAAAGGCCACCATCAGCAGAACAAAAAGGCATCCTACAATGTGGGAGAATATATTTGCAAATGACATATCCGACAAGGGGTTAACATCCAAAATATATAAAGAACTCACACACCTCAACATCCAAAAGGCAAATAACCCGATTAACAAATGGGCGGAGGATATGAAGAGAGTTCACCAAAGAAGAAATTCAGATGGCCAACAGACACATGAAAATATTCTCCACATCGCTAATCATCAGGGAAATGAAAATTAAAACCACAATGAGATATCACCTCACACCAGTTAGGATGGCCAACATAGAAAAGACTAGGAACAACAAATGCTGTTGAGGATGCAGAGAAAAGCAAACCCTCCTACACTACTGGTGGGAATGTAAACTAGTTCAACCATTGTGGAAAGCAATATGGAGGTTCCTCAAAAATCTAAAAACAGAAATACCATTTGACTTAGGAATTCCACTCCTAGGAATTTACCCTAAGAATGCAGGAGCCCAGTTTGAAAAAGATATATGCACTCCTATGTTTATCGCAGCACTATTTACAATAGCCAAGAAATGGAGACAACCTAAGTGTCCATCAGTAGATGAATGGATAAAGAAGATGTGGTACATTTACACAATGAATTATTATTCAGCCATAAGAAGAAAATAAATCCTACCATTTGCAACAACATGGATGGAGCTAGAGGGTATTATGCTCAGTGAAATAAGCCAGGCGGAGAAAGACAAGTGCCAAATGATTTCACTCATCTGTGGAGCATAAGAACAAAGCAAAAACTGAAGGAACAAAACAGCAGCAGAATCACAGAACCCAAGAATGGACTAACAGTTGCCAAAGGGAAAGAGACTGGGTGGAGTGGGGGTGGGAAAGGAGGGAGAAGGGGAATAAGGGGCATTATGATTAGCACACATAATACAGGAGGGGGCACAGGGAAGGCTCTATAGCACCGAGAAGACAAGTAGTGACTCTATAGCATCTTACTACGCTGATGGACAGTGATTGTAATGGGGTATGTGGTGAGGACTTGATAATGCTGGGAATCTAGTAAACACAGTGTTGCTCATGTAATCATATATTAATGATACCAAAATAAAAAAAATAAAAAATAAAAAGAACAGCACTGTTAAATCAAACTCAATGTCATGTGGGTTAAACACGATCATAAGACGTCTGAAACATGATGGTTATGTTTACATATTGGGACAAGGTGTATAGAGACCCTAAGAAGCATTAGTGCCTTAGAGCTGTAGAAGATGGCTTCACCCCACCCATGGTGGATAGCTACTCGTCTCACCAGAACACCACCATCTGTGCTGGGAAGTCGTCCACTTCAGCAAATGTGAAATTTAAGATTCTGGAGAAAAATGTTGTTCCACATTTACAAGTGAGCAATGCTGAGCATTTATTATATTACATTCGTGGATGTAAGATTTTTCCTTCTAAAAAAAATCAAAGTATTTTGTGTGCATGTATTGTCTCATAAATACTTAAGGGTATGTAAGCATGAACTGTAGTTGTTATGTTTCAGCTTTGATTTGTGCTCCAATCAGAACAGATCATACAGTATCTGTGTTTCCACAGCCCACAGAAAGTATCACATACAGCCTTCTAGCCTGGTTTCCATGCATTTCCCTTTTGAAGAAAGGAATATTTTCTGGAGTGTTTTAAAATGTAGGTTTTATTATTTGGGGAAATGGTGAGGCCCACGGATCTGGAGATGGCTGTCAATGAAATGATAGCTTGCTGCTCACAGCTCCCTGAGGAGGGGCCATGCCAGGTCACACATGCCATGTGGGGAACCACCAGGGTGGCCAGGGGACAGAGGGAGCCAGGGGAAATGGGGCAAGAGCACTTATTGTGGTTTCCACAGAAGGAACAGAGAGACACGGCAGACAGACTGAGGACTGGCTAGGTCGGATCATTTTGGTGGGGTCTGGAGAGCAGGGGCTGACACCAATTATCAGGTACCTGGCCCTGGGAGACAAGAGCACGCAGGAGTGGGTGGGCTGGGCACGCGATGGTTGGTTTGCCTACAAAGGGTGCCCTGGCAAGTCCTACCATCTCTGGGAATTGGCTGTCCCCGGCCGAGCAGTCCCTGCAGGGTCAGTGAGGCCTCAGAGGGCAAAGCTTCCAAATAAAAACATGTTTGATAGGTAAGGAAAAGTGTCTGGATCTGTGCTATAAGGACTGCTCTGGTTCCGAGCCTTGGGGACTGAGTCTTCAAGAAGAAAGGAGAAAATGGGATCGTGGTGAAAGGCGCATGGAAACAACACATGAGGCCATAGCTAGGAAGACTTGGAAGAAAGAAAACACATATAACAATTCAAGATACTACAAGTATTCCTACACTGACCATCTGAGTAGTGTAGTGTAGAATATCCATCTGGATTCAGAACTAGGGTCAATACTTGAGAAGCCACAAATATCAAATACGGGAATAAAAAATAACACTGCCCGTAACTGTTCCCTAAAAATAAAAGAAGTAAAGGTTGGTCATGAATAAAAGATGGCAACCAGATAGCCTCTGTTCAAATATAGAGAACTCTGAGATTAGGGCCTATGTTGGAGGCTTTATTTACCATAATTTAAATTACCGGGAAATGAGTATTCTGGAACCGTCAGCTGGATTCCTGTGGCCTAGTGCCATGGTGCAGGGTGAGCTGGCCTGCATGGGATGGAGGCTGGGAGTGGGCTGGGCTCCTGGTGGGTGGGGGCCTGGCCCTGCTGTCCCACTCCCCACTGCTCCTGGGTGACCGTCTGGAAGTCTGTAGCCTCACCGAGACAGCTTCCTCAGCCATACAGGGTGGGTCCCAAAAGTTCCACTTCGTAAGGCAGTCATGAGGGTCACAGAAGATCATACACTCTGTTACTCAGTGCCCTGTACCCAGCAGGTGTCAGTAAACTTCAGCTCTATTTACAGTTCAATAACAGAATGCTAAACCCCCTAGGAGATTACCTGTGTCTTTTAGGCTATAAATCCATTAAATCTGTCATGTGATAAGATTAGCTAATAGGAAGGGAGACCTGGTCAAGGTGAAAGGGCCACCCCAAAGTCAAGGCGAGAGGCACTACAGGATCTCATAGGGCAGGAAACAGGAGCCTGCATGCAGGCATTTCTCATGTATTCTCACTCAGTGGCTGATCACTGCAGGAGAAACCCTAAATATCCCTAAGAACCAGAACAAGAAGCAAGAAACTGAGAAATGGCACCAAGGGTTATCTGCCTGTGTAAAGATGCATTTTCTAGTTTTTACAGAGAAGCAGAAGCAGTCATGAGGTCAAGAGAATTTTCCACCTCTCTTGGGACTGGGCAACCATGGTGACCTGGCCTTTTTCATTTTGATTTTCTAAGGATTACCATGTTCACTAACACTATCAGGCACATTTTTTAACATTTAATATCTCCAACTCAGGATACATTCTGGAAACAACCTGAATATCCAGCAGCAAGTGGGTGGATCAACAAACCACATACAAATCATACAATGGGCAACTGCTCAGCAAGAAAAGAGGAAAGCGCTATTGCCCTATATTATAACCTCAGGATCATAACGCTCTGTAGGAGAAGTCAATGAAAAGGGTACATACCATAATATTTCATTTATATAAAATTCTAGAAAATGCACACACTTCTGCAGTAACAGAAAACAGCTCTTTCTGGGGCTGGAGGTTGGTGGGGTGAGGAAAGAGGCCCAGGGCACATTCAGGGGTGACATGTGCTTGAGTTCTTGGTGATAGTCTAAGTGTCATCTGTATGTGTACACACAGGTCAGAACTCAACCATCTTTAGTTTTAAATATGTGCATCAGTTATGTCTCAATAAAGCTGCAAGGAAGAAAAAAAAGGCAAAATGCTAATAAAAGAGCAAACATATTTTGTCCTAGTTAGGCCTCAAAAGCATATGATCAGGTATTACCTTCAGATTTGCAGATAGAATCATCTGAAAATACTCAGCTCAGAAGCAGTTCTATAATCTCAGTGTCCTGAAAGGAGTAAATTCTTAAGAGTCAGTTATTATTTATATTAAATCCATCTTGTGTATGAGAAGTCACATTGTATTGAGTGGGAAAAGCCATGTCCCCTCATGGGAACTGTAAATCCCTTCAAGTGTGGAAGAGAAAATTCCCAGAGAGATACCAAATCTATTCTTTAGGGAAATTATTAATTTTCATCTCATCATTTTATTGAGTGTAACTGACAGAGATATTGGTCAAAGGACACAAACTTTCAGTTCTGAGGCTCTCACCTGCAGCGTGGTGACTGCAGTTAATAATATTGTGCGATGGCTTAGAAGTTGCCAAGAGGACATGTGAAGCGTTCCTCTCATTTTTTGATCCGAAATCAATGTCACTGTTGAGGGCATTACGACTCAAGTCCACAACACACTGGCAGGGCTCTGGGGCCACCATGTGGTGAGGAGGGTCAGCACAGATGTCAGGGGCTTGCAGCCCCTGAGAGAAAGAGGAGGAGGAAGACACCTTAAACCATCAGTTGTTGCAGCCTTCAAGGATGGCAGTCTTCTAAGCAGCTTAAGCCATTTCTTAGTCACTGTTACAAACTGATTAAAGTGCTTCTCACACTGCATATGCATAAACTCACCTTGGCAATCATGAAAGGAAGCCTTAGATTCTGCATCTCTAACGTGATCCAGGATGTCCATTCCTGGGGCCCAGACCACACTTTGAGTAGCAAGAGCTCAGAAGGCAGTGGAGAGGGATGGAAACAAATTCCAAAGGGCTGTTTTTAATATCTTAAGATAAACCTAAAAAACAAGATGATATTTTATCACACACACACACACAAAGGTTTCCTGATTGTCATGAAAAATTTTGCTTTCTCTGGCTTGAGGCATCATACAGTTCTGAGCACAGAGACTTAATGCTCTCAGCCAGAACTAGCTGGGTCAGAAGAGGCTGGCCAGCTCTCCAGAAATTAAAGAAATTCCAAGTCTGCTTGGTCAGAGTTTTGCTTTCTCAATATTCCAGCCTTGGTAACATTTACATAAAGCTTATTTATTTAAAATTGCTTTTGCAATATGTATATATTTTCTAAATTCCAACTTCAGCTGGCTAGGAAATAGAGCAAAGACTCCTATAGTTCTCACATCATAAAAATGGAAATGCACGTGCAGCTGAGTTCACGTTTGTGAGAGTGGTTCCTTGCTGAGCAGCCTTGGGGACATGGAGTCCCTATAGAATATTGTGTGAAGAAACCCAGCTCTGGTCCTCAAAAAGCCCATCACTGTATCCAGTAAAGTCCCTTTGAAACCATGCCCTCTAGACAAATTGGCATTTCCCCTGTGAACACTGACACCGTGCCCATCCTGCTCTTTGTCCTACAAAATGGATCCTTTGGGGCCTAGGCCTAGCATTCAAGAAAGCACCGAACAGGAAAAGAAAGGACAAGGATGGACAGAGGGACAAAGGATGTACCATTTCCCAAATCAGTGCTAGAATCCCTTCCTTTGTTTTCTTGTTTAAAGCAAGCTCCTATTATGAGTTTGATTGGGCTTAAAAGATGAAGAGTTGTGATTGCTGTCAGGAGGCACAGGTTGCAAATCTCTGTCTTGATGCTCATATTCCACTAAGGGAGACTCAAATGGGCATCACAATACAATTATCTATGCTTTTAATTCTTACATTTTTATTTTTTATGTTCATATATTTTTTATTGTAGATGATATGCAATACTATAGTGTTTTCAAATATACAACATGGTGATTCAACAGTTATTTATATTATTAAATGCTCACCCCAACTGGTACAGTTACTGTGAACATAGAACAGTGTTAGAAAACTACTGACCTTGTTCTCTGTGCTTTACTTTCATTACTGTGACTAACTTTTATTATGACTGAGATTTTATGCCTCTTTATCCCCTTCACCTATTTCAGCCACTCACCCCAGCCCCCACTCCATGGTAACCATCAGTCATTTCTCAGTGTCTAAGAGTCTACTGCTGTTTTGTTCATTTTGTTTTTAGATTCCACATAAAAGTGAAATCATATCGTATTTGTCTCTCCACCTGCCTTTTGTCACTGAGCATATCCTCTAGTTCCATCCATGTCGTCCCAAATGACAGGATTCCCTTCTTTTTTATGGCTGAATAATATTCCATCGTGTATATACTACATCTTCTTTATCCATTCACCTACTGATGGAGACTTAAGTTGCTTCCATATCTTGGCTATTGTAAATAATACAGCATTAAACATAAGGGTGCATATATTTTTTCAAATCAGAGTTTTGTTTTCTTCAGGTAAATTCCTAGATGTAGAATTACTGGGTCATATGGTATTTCTGTTTTATTGAGAAACTTCCATACTGCTTTCCATAGTGGCTGCACCAATTTAGTTTCCCACTAACAGTGTAAGAGCATTCCTTTTTCTCTACATCCTTGTCAACCCTTGTTATTTCTTGTCTTTTGGATGGCAGCCATTCTAGCACTGGACTTTCAAATGATTTTTTAACAGCTTTACTGAAATATAATTCACTGAACTATGAATCCCAACAAGAAAGGAATCTTTTTGCCCCAACAATGCTAGAAAGTTTCTAACAAAGCAGGTTCCTCTTACAGAATGCGATGGATTCAGGTATTTTCTGTTCTCCTCATTTCATTAAATAGAACATGCTGGTCACCGGCCATCAAGATGACTTCACCTGCAGGGCTGACGAGTGCTGGCTTGGCAGGACCAGAGTGTCCTGGTGTGGCCACAGGCTTATAGCCCAGGCCTGTCTCACTCTCTCCCCCCTCCCTCCCTGCCTGGCCTGGGGATTCTGCCCAATGAAGTCCCCCACTGCTGTCCAAGGAGTCCGGGGAGGCTCCCAGCTCCACAGCTCCAGGACTTGGCCATACAAGGAAGCCCCGGCCCTCCAGGATGATCTCACTGTGGCCCACAGGGAGGAAGGACAGGGGCAGCGCCTCTCTGTTAGACACACCATGTTCGCTGTGACAGGTCCTCATGTGGAGACCACCCCATGGTCTGTCCTGCCGCAGACCCACTGCTGCCCAGGGGACTGCTGGCAGACAGCCAGGGAAAAATGAGACAGGAGGCCAAGCCCAGCAAAGGGGTGGGAGGCTGGAAGCTCTTGAACAATATCTCTATCCTGGAAAACAGGTTGGCTTGTGGCTAGGAGTCTGGTGTTCACTGAAACAGAATACACATGGAGAGCTTCCTCAGCTTCTCCTGGGAAAGCCTGAAATACAAATGAAGCCTGTTTTGTCTCCTGCAGTGTGTGTGCCCACCTGCATATGTTGACACATGTAGTAAAGAGATCTGGCAGAAGTCAGAGAGCAGAAACAACCCGAATGCAATCTGAGGAATTCATGAGCACTTTCTGGAGGTGCCAATCTCCAGGAAGGTTTCCAGAAGCATGTTTCATGGAAAAAAATCTGAGGACCACTTGCTAAAATTGAAGTCATTTCTGGAATGTCATCAGGACACAGATAACAGGATGTGAAAACAACTTGTAATCATAAGGGAAAGAGCAGGGCCAGAGAGGCAGAGGGTAGCCGCATTCCAGAAAAGCACCTCAGTGTCCATCACACCAGCGTGTCCTAGTGCTTCAGGGGAAGGCTCTGGACAGCCCCAGGCTTATGTGCAAAAGTGATGAATTGTTCTTCCTTCGTTTTCTGTCTCTTTCTCTCCATTTAACACTTTGGCCAAGCTCTCGTAAAGTAATTCAGTGTGCCTGGTACTCACCTGCCCTCTCATCTCTACATCAGTTCCAAATTATTTTGCCCACTTGGGAAATCTCACACTATTCATAAATCTGCACAACCTGTTAACCAAACAACAGGACTTTCCAGAGAAACTGAGACTCTTAGCATATCCTTTCCTTTTTTTTTTTTTTATCTTGTTTTGGTTCTGGGTGCCAGAGGCTTAAGGTGAATGTGACCCAGGCACTGGCAGTCATGTGAATTCTGCTTCAACATCTACACTTCACACTTTACACTTGGATCTAATCCACCTCACTTGAGGTGTGTGCTTTAGTCCTGTGGTTGTCTAAGAAAAAATTGAGAATAAGTTTAAAAAGAAAGTTTCTGAAGTCACAGAGGTCAAAATCTTGCAGCCAAAGCAGAAGAGCATTAGCCAAACAGAACGTACCTCCTGGGCCAGAACCAGGCGGCTGGGCAGATAAGGCTTCTATGTGCAGCTCTGCTGGCTGGCTCTGGGAAAGCAATGTGTTCCAGTTGGAGGCAGAGGCCAAGTGAGGCGGTGACAGCATTCCTCATTCCTCCCCAGTCTCTGGGACCCCCACCCATGGGTGGGGAGTGAGGGCCAGAGTCCACCGGATTCTTCATGGGAGAACTGCCGACTCTGTCCCTGCAGAGCAGGTCCCACATCTTCCCCATGAAGGGCTCCACAAGGTGGCCGTGGTGAGAGTGCTGCCTTGGCCCTCAGTAACTTCCATAGTTGGACCACTGATATTCACCTCCTTGTGACCACTTACCTTGTCTCTGGGACAATGTTGTCTTCCTTGCTCAGAGCAATACTTCAGTCTGTGTCTTGTTCTCCTTACAGTCTAAACACCACTGTTTGAGCATCAGCAGTGAGAGGGATAAAGGCAGTCAGATTAACAGATAGGAAATCACTGCTGCAACATAACCACAGAGTCACAGGCCATGACACAGGCCAGTACAGAAGAGGGGACATGCAGAGGCACTCCAGCTAAAGTGCTGGAAGGGGATCTGTCTTTGATTAGCAGGACCAGGTTCAAATCCAGTCCTAATACTGAAATCCTAAGCCTCTTCTGTTACTCAGTCATGCTGTGAATTTGGTGGGGATGTTATTAAAAGTTCATATTTTACTGCTGACAATTTGCCAACTCACAAATGAACAAGAAGAGGTGTGCATGGAGAAAAGAGGGAAGCAGACAGACATAACACAGTATTGAGAGGATGGGAAGATGCAGGGCCAGGTGCACTGCAGTTGCAGGGCAGGAGGTAAGCCCTTGGGGCTGCAGGCTTTGTCCCTGCTCATCTCCTATTTGACCAGGGTGCTTCATTTTGTGCTGGAGAACCTCTCCCCTCTCTGCTGCTGCATGTACATCTCCTCTTTCTGAGACTCCTTAAACAAAAAATACTAAAATAATAAAGAATTAAAATACTATATAGTAAAATGATAAAAATGGAACTTTTTATAAGAAGAAATTGGAATTTCTCATATTGGCATTGAAAGCAGATGACACTGCACCTGTAGACCTCGATATAATGGCAAAAACAGAAAAGAATGAAAGTGACTGTAGTAATAACAGCAACTTTCCACATTGCTCTTCCATGTGTATTATTTTGGGGCTGCAGATTCCCACATTCTGTGTGTTCAATTACTAAGCTGCCTTCTCTCTTTGTACCCACAGGTATTCTGAATGAATCAGGATTTAGCAGGGTGTAGCACATTCGGAGTGTAATGCAGAAACACCTGCACCTTGGCGCTGTTTGAGACCTGGAGGCCTAGGTCTCAAAATGGATTTCTTCCCAAAGTCTTGTGTGATCGTTTCAGTGAGAAGTGATCTCTCCCTTCTCTGAACTCCTCACCATTTTGTGTCTGCTTATTTCCTGACATCACATTCTGACTCAGGATTACTGATTTATGGGACTGATGCCACTCCGGATGTGCTACACCCTACTAAATCCTGATTCATTCAGAATACCTGTGGGTACAAAGAGAGAAGGCAGCTTAGTAATTGAACACACAGAATGTGGGAACCTGCAGCCCCAAAATAATACACATGGAAGAGCAATGTGGAAAGTTGCTGTTATTACTACAGTCACTTTCATTCTTTTCTGTTTTTGCCATTATATCGAGGTCTACAGGTGCAGTGTCATCTGCTTTCAATGCCAATATGAGAAATTCCAATTTCTTCTTATAAAAAGTTCCATTTTTATCATTTTACTATATAGTATTTTAATTCTTTATTATTTTAGTATTTTTTGTTTAATTCTAAAGGATTAATTCTACAGGATTGAACCATGTAGATAATTGTGTTTGGACTCCTTTTTTCAAGCTATGTTGAGACTATCTTGAATGGGGCAGTGGTCAATTCCATTTCAGACTTCCATATGCAATTCTGAATGGCAATAAGGGATTAGGGGATATAAGAGATATAATTCTAGGCCCGGACAGCAATTTTCTCACTTATGTCTGCCAAAAGCCCTTCTCTAATGCAAGAACAAGATAAAACATGGTGTAGCTAGACCTCAGCCAGCTTACCCTACCCTTTCCTGCCTTAATGTCCTCTTATTTCACATGAGGAGGGTGGGTTATGTGATCCTAAAAGCTCCTTCCAATCTCTAGAAGTTTGTGGGAGAACAGTTTCCTAAGAGATTAGAAAGTGTCATAAAATATATGTAAAAGGTGTGTGTCAGGTTCAGCTCATAAAACAGAAACTGAAGCTAAGAGTGGCTTAAACATACAAAAATCTATCTTTTCCTTTCACAGAAGCCTGCAGACAGGCAATCCTGAGCTGTGCAGCAGATGCACAAAGTTTCCACAGAACCAAGCTTCTTTTATATGTCCCTCTATCACCTTTATGATGATTGTATTTTCTCTGTCTCCTCATGCTCCACAACGGTGACTTGGATCCTGCCATCACATCTGCATTCCAAGCAGCAGTAAGAGGCAAAAGGCTGTACCTGGTGTTTGACTCTTTTTAAGAAGTCTCTCTGGAGGTTCTCCTCAACAATTCCACTTTTGTTTCCTGGGCCAGAATAGAATCACATGGTCATAGCTGCAAAGAAACCTGTGAAGTCTAGTCAAGTGACCAATCTTCCAACTTTAAATAATAAAATATGTCAATTTTATAAGAAGATAAACAGGTTTGGGCTAAGATAAAATTCAGTGTGCACCAACTGTTTAAAATGTAAGAAGCTCTAAAAAGGGATGATAATTCCAGAGCACAAACCCTGGGCTGGGGCTATGGAAACACCTTGGCATAGAGCCCAGCTTTGCTCTCCAGCCCTGGGAGAGTGAAGGGCACCCACAGGACGTCCTTAAAATGTCAATGTTCTCCTGTTCTGCATCACTGGCCCTGCTCAGGCTCAGTCCATTGAAGCAACTGCTTTCAGACTTTGCAGTTGCTCCCAGCCATATATACCCTGGCAGTGCTCCAAAAACTGGATATCTGTGGTTCTGATGGAGCAGAGAAAAACTAGGTCTGGGTGATTTCTGGTGACCGTGGGGTTTAGGAATTTCCCATGGATTCTGGCAGAGGACAAAGATCAGACCCCCAGCCTTCCCTGCACCCGTATTTCTCTTTCACCACAAATTTCTGAAGCTCAGAGAGATGAGCTGGTGGATGAGGCAAGCACCCAATCAAAATCTGCCTGACCTGATCTTTTGTCTGGGGCGGCCCCAAAGTGATAGCCTGTTTGTGTCTCTATTACATACCTCTGGGCTAACAGAATAAGCCGTTTCTTATGCTCTTTTTCCTCGTGTGTCCACTTGCTGAGCACCTACTGTGCACTCAGCAGGCTCGGGCGGGGGTAGCCCCACAGAGCTGTACATGGGGTCGTTTAGGAGATGCTTTTCTGGGGTAGCGGTGCCCCAGCACAGTGCTGTGTGCTTGGTGAGATCGCGCCCCCATCCGACTGTGTCCGCAGCAAGTACCTGGCTCAGGGTTGAGCCCTTAAGTCACCGAGGGCATCTGTCACCCAGCGTGCTGGACGTGACTGTTTGGGTTTTGGAGCCTCCAGTGGAGCTAAGAGGGCATCCGGCTGACAGAACAGGAACACGCGGTTTCCTTAGGTGAGAACTGGGGTCTTATCGCCCTTGCCAGCCTTTCCTGCTCCCTCCCCGGATCCACTGGCACCCGGCCTGGAGTATGGGGGCCGCATTCCTTCTCTTCCCCCGTACGGGCCGGTGGGGACAGGGACTCCCATGCTGGCCTTCAACCTAAGGATCCGCCACACGTGCTTCCCCGAGACCTCAGCCCGGAGTAAAAACCTGGGGGAGCCCGACGTAAAGCTGGGCCGCCCGCGGCTCGAAACACTACACTGGGAAGAATCCTGAGCAAAGCGGAGCGTCCGTCTGCGCTGGGCTTCGGGGCCCCCCACCTGCGGCGCTTCCCTCACGTGCTGGCCCCGCCCTCTTAGTGCTCCGCCCACCTGCGGCGCTCTCCCTCCCTCCTGCCGGAGCTGCTCTCCTTCTGCAATGCACCTCCCACCGCCATACACGCCCCCGCGCGCGCGCAAAGCTCGCGCCTCGGCTGCAATTCCCCCCAACCTGAGGTGCCCTCCCTTCTTCCTGGGTCTCGCCCCCGAGCGCCCCTCCCACTGCAATGCGCCCCCACCGGCTGTGCCCCGCCCTGGGCCCGCGGCCTGAGTCGGCCTTGGACCGCCCATTGGCGAGCGCCGAGCGCGCGGGGCGGTGGTTCTGAGTCTCGCGCGGGCGGGGCACACTGCTTGCTGAGCGCCAGGCTCAGCGCAGTCCCCGGACTTCTCGCCATGGCCGACGACGTTTCCTCCGACCGCAAGGGCTCCTTTCGAAAGTTCCTGGAGCACCTTTCTGGGGCCGGCAAAGCCATCGGCGTGTTGACCAGCGGCGGGGATGCCCAAGGTGCGCGGCCGCCTCCAGGCCCGCTCAGGCGGCGGAGGAGTGGACGCAGAGGAAGGATGGGGAGGAAGGATAGGGGTACCCGGGAGGAGAGATGGGAACGGGAAACCAGGGGGGAGGGAGGGGCACAAGGGAGGAGGGATGGGGAAAGTGGAAGCAGGGAAGAGGGTTGTGGAGAGGGACCCAGGAAGAGAAATGGGGGTAGGAGGTAGAAGGGATGGGGAACCAGGGAGGAGGGGCGTACCTGGGATAAGAGAAGAGCGGAGAAAAGCCCCCGAGCCCAGGCACCGCAGGGGGGCCTCCCCGGGCCGAAGCAGGCCGAAAAGCCTCCGAGCAAGTCGCCGCGGGGCTAAGTTGCGGAGTGGCGGGGCGTGGGGGGGGTGGGTACTAGCAGAGGTGGGTATATGGCGTGGGATCTTGTACTGGGAATATCAATTTTCTGTCTGCATTTTTGTTTTTTGATGGAGACTGGCGATGGGTCGCCCTGGGAGGTAATTCCTCCAGCCGTGGGATGGGCCGGGCGCCCTCCGATCCCCCAAATTTTGTAAAGAATGGCTGGGTCCGCGCGGCACGCCCTGCGGCCTCGCGCCCCGCGCGGGTCCCCTGCTGCACTGCAGGGCGCGGCGGGGGCGCGCGGATCCCCTCAGGGCTGCCAGCGACTCGCCACCGCCTCGAGTTTCCGCTGGGAGATTTTAAAAACGTTTTTCCGCCGCTCTAACCTCCTTTCCTCTTCCGGCTTGTGACAAAACCGAAAATTGAAACGGGTCGCTGGGCCAGTCCGCCAGCCTACCAGCGTACCTGGACGGGAATGACGGAATCGGTGACTCGGGGACGTCCCGGCACCGGCGGGGGTCCCCAACAAGGAGGCCGATTTCGGGAGGAGGGGGACCGAGTCCCATGTCCTCACGCTCCTCGAAAGAATGCCTACATTTGAGGGGAGGGGGGCACGGCCACGCCCGGCCCCAGGGCGGCGTGCACGTGGGCGCGCCGGGCTAGCAGACCGTGTGGTATCCCAGCCAGGTGAATCCGGGTGCGGCGAGCTAGCCGTGGGGAAGTAGGTAGGCGCTTACCCAGCGGATGCGACCTTGGAGTCTTAGAGATTCCGCGGACTGGAGACGCCTCCTCGTGCTGGGTTTTGGGTTTTATTTGGCCCTCTGTTGTAGATGTTCACATGTTTGGACGTCGCACCCTGTGGAGGGATGCTTGGGTGGTGCGTCCGGCGTCCCCGCCTGTCGCCCACCCTGCCCGTGACCTTTCCTTCGCCCTTGAGCGAGGCGGGGCCGTGCGGGTGCGGCTTGTTGGGGAGCTCTGGCTGCTGCCCTGACCGCCTCCCCGCCCGCCGCGCGCCTACGTGATGCCCGGCCCGTCGCCGCTCGTGCGCCCTGTGCCCTGGGCATCCGCGCGCGGCGGGCAGGAGGCGCCCAGGTACAAGGAGACCTCCGGGTCCTATGGAAGACGGCGCCTCGGGCGTCAGGCACCGCCCGGTCCCCACAGGCCAGCCTTGGCGTCCTAGGGAAGCAGGCTGTTCCGTTTGGTATCCTAATAAAATGACCCTCGGTATAAACATTACAGAGAAGTAAACTGTGATAGAGCAAAGGCCGAGGTTGGGGAAACAGGGTGAAATGGATGACATCGCCCAGAGTGCTTAAGTAACACCCGAACGGTGCCGAGGACGCTGTGGGCGGAGCATATGGCTTCCCTGGCAATAGCTTCAAACGCATATGCCTCAGGAGACACGGGCAAGCAGAACTTAGGGAAGCCCCTTGAGCCAGTCTTATCCTGGATCTCAGAAAGAAATAAAACGGTGGCACAGGAAGAGGAGCAAGTCTCCTAAACCAGTAGGCTTCAAGATCAGAGTTTCAAGGTTATTTTAGAATTACGGTGCTGTATGTGTTGAAAAATACATTTATTGAGCATTCTTTTCACTCCTTGTCCAAAAGTTTGCTCAACCACCTGGTTGTTGGTGTATAGGGCCGGAAATAATGGTGTAATACACAGACTCAGCATTTTCTCTGTTAGTTATCCTGACTCTGCGGCTTATAAGCAGTTATAAATAATAGAGGCCAGTAAGTCACACCTCTTTGTCTTTCTGGAAAAGGATTCTTTGAGAACCAAAATTATGTGTAGCTAATGGGAGATGGCTGTTCTCTTCTCAGCTGGTGGCCTGATGCTCTCACGTGTCACTGTGGGGCTGTCCCTGGGATAGCCCACCAAGGTCTGCCTCCTCATGCTCCCCATCCCCACAGAGTGAAGGCCTTTGGCTGGTTTTTCTTGGACTTCGTGCAGAGTGTGATCTCTGGTTTTTATACTTTGTGGTTCCTGATAGGATGTCTGGATGCACTTCTTCCTGAGAAATCTTGCCTTGACATGTTATCAGAGGGTCTGGTTGGCGGCATCAGGTTTACAGACCATTAGAGCCTTAGATGGCTGGAGATGTTGCCAATGACACCCTGTTCTTTGACCATTTTATCTTGACTAAATTATATCAGCACTTGATTTTCCCTGAGATAGGAGAATTTTGCTCATAGCTAAAGAGCAAGGAGAACACACTCACATCTTAATCTCAGGGTAGTCTTCTAATGGGATGTGAAATTATGGTAAAATTCCATGTGGACAGGACTCTAGCTGCTATTTAGCAGGCACGTTTTGTGTACTTGGAGCTTTACAGTTCTCGTCTCAGGGCCTTACTTTGCTCCAAGGGTGTGTATGTCTTCATTTTGGAGGTGAAGAGAAAGACCCACAAAGAGGTAAGTGACTTTTTGAGGGTTACAGGGCTCATACGTGACAGTTGGCAGGATTTAAAACAAGTTCTGTAAGATCTCATCCCAGCCCTTCCTGGGGGCCATGCCCCAAAGCCTTCCTCAGGTGGCTGTAAAGTCTAGTTCCTGTTGCAGGGCAGGCAAAACCCAGCTTGCTTCAGAATTATACAGAGGACTGGAGGGCAGTTTTGTTAGTGGTATAGGTAGTGCCTTTTTACAGCGATAACTCCAGGGTGACTAACTCCATGAAACCCTTGATACCAAGCTGGTGAAGTGCTTTCTCCCCCAGTGGAATTTATATAGTATAATCATAAAGTGGCAAAAGCCCCCTGGGTTTTGTCTGTTGTCACAGGGAATGTCTGCAAATTTAAATTGATTTTCACTTTAACCTCAAATAAGTCCCACGTTGCCTGACAGACAGACAGGCTTACCATGACGAAGTCCCTGCCCCAAGCAAGACTGTGTCACACACCAAAAATGAGTCATGGTCATAGACACAGCCCGTGGGCTTTGGGAGGGCCTGGTGCAGCTGAGAGGCACCTGAGAGCAGCACACTGCCCACAGCAGAGCAAACCCCAGTACGTAACGTAGGCAGAACCCACTTCAACTGAGTCTGTATCAGTCTTCCTAATAATAGCAAAAATAACCAACATTCCATGGACATTTGCTCTATGGCAGGCTCTAGGGCTCCCACGCACTGGCTTCTCACCTTATACAGGAGCCACTGAGCTTTTCAGAGAACTGAGTTCCCCTAAGTGGTGGGGACGGCCAGGCCACACACTGCAGTGGGAATGGGGGCCAAGACGCGAGTGTCCATCCACCCCTGCATGCCTGCCTCTCAGCACATCTGTGGCTCACGACAGGCCCTCGGACTTGCTGAATACCTCCCCCTGAGTCTCCCTAACTAACAAAGTGCAGGCCACTTCCTTTCACAAAAGCCTGTGATTGGGAGTTCTCTCCATCCTCTTTCATCATTAAGTCCTTTTGATGAATAATCTTGTAAGTCCAGGGAAAGGAAATCCCAGGACAAAATACCTCTAAAAACCGGGATCAGTCAAAGGGAGAAATAAAGTTTAAAACCCGTTTATTGTTTACAAACTGCAGTCCAGGGCCGTCTCTCTCTGCTCCAGAAGGAAGCAAACCAGCAAGCAAGCCAGCCCCTGGCCTTAAACTGTCAGGTTCAAACACACCCTCGGTTGCCCAGGTAATTATCCATTGACATGGAGATGAACTTCTCTCCACCCCTCATACAGGGCTCATACGTGACAGTTGGCAGGATTTAAAACAAGTTCTGTAAGATCTCATCCCAGCCCTTCCTGGGGGCCATGCCCCAAAGCCTTCCTCAGGTGGCTGTAAAGTCTAGTTCCTGTTGCAGGGCAGGCAAAACCCAGCTTGCTTCAGAATTATACAGAGGACTGGAGGGCAGTTTTGTTAGTGGTATAGGTAGTGCCTTTTTACAGCGATAACTCCAGGGTGACTAACTCCATGAAACCCTTGATACCAAGCTGGTGAAGTGCTTTCTCCCCCAGTGGAATTTATATAGTATAATCATAAAGTGGCAAAAGCCCCCTGGGTTTTGTCTGTTGTCACAGGGAATGTCTGCAAATTTAAATTGATTTTCACTTTAACCTCAAATAAGTCCCACGTTGCCTGACAGACAGACAGGCTTACCATGACGAAGTCCCTGCCCCAAGCAAGACTGTGTCACACACCAAAAATGAGTCATGGTCATAGACACAGCCCGTGGGCTTTGGGAGGGCCTGGTGCAGCTGAGAGGCACCTGAGAGCAGCACACTGCCCACAGCAGAGCAAACCCCAGTACGTAACGTAGGCAGAACCCACTTCAACTGAGTCTGTATCAGTCTTCCTAATAATAGCAAAAATAACCAACATTCCATGGACATTTGCTCTATGGCAGGCTCTAGGGCTCCCACGCACTGGCTTCTCACCTTATACAGGAGCCACTGAGCTTTTCAGAGAACTGAGTTCCCCTAAGTGGTGGGGACGGCCAGGCCACACACTGCAGTGGGAATGGGGGCCAAGACGCGAGTGTCCATCCACCCCTGCATGCCTGCCTCTCAGCACATCTGTGGCTCACGACAGGCCCTCGGACTTGCTGAATACCTCCCCCTGAGTCTCCCTAACTAACAAAGTGCAGGCCACTTCCTTTCACAAAAGCCTGTGATTGGGAGTTCTCTCCATCCTCTTTCATCATTAAGTCCTTTTGATGAATAATCTTGTAAG